TTTTGATTTTGTCAAATACTTTTTAAAAATTTATTGAAATTATTGTATATACTCCTTGTTCTGTTAGTGAAGTAAATTACATTCATTAATTTTCAAATGTTGAGCAAACTTTACATTCCCAAACTACACTTGGGATGTATTATTCCTTTACATATATCTGGATTTGGCTTGCTTTTGTAGAGGCTTTTTTTTGCACATATGTTTATTAGAAATAGTTGTGCATATTTTTTGTTGTTGTTATCAGATCTTTTGGTATCAGATATGTTCCATTTGGTTTTGGTATCACGGTTATGTCTACCTAAGAAATGAGTTGGGAGATTTTTTTTTCTCCTTTTATTTTCTAACTTGTGAATATTTGTATCACTTTTTCCTTAAATAAATGAAAGAATTCAATCTGTGAAATCTCTGAGAGTTAGAATTTTATTTGTGTCAAATTTTCAAATTATGGGTTGGGGTTGTGGCTCAGCGGGAGAGTACTCACCTATCACATGTGAGGTGCTAGGGACAATCCTCAGCACCACATAAAATAAACAAATAAAATAAAAGTACAACTAAAAAAACCAAAGTATTTAATTTTCTTTTCAAATTATAAATGCAATTTTTCATAGAGGGATAATCTTGCTGTCTTCAGAAATCTATTTTTCAAGAGATTTGTCTACTTCACCTAAGTTATTGTATTTTTTGACATAATGTTGTTCACTATAGTCCATGATTATCTTACTTTTAATGTTTATAGAATCTATGGATATCACCTAAAGATAATCTGTATTTTCTGTCATTTTTTTCTCAATTACTCTTGCTTGGTATTTATCAGTTTTATTAATCTTTTCAAAATCTTGGTTTTTTTCTGTAGTTTATCTGTTTTCTAATGGATTGTTTTCTACTCTTTATGATTTCTTTGTCCTATTTGAATTTTATTTGCTTGTCTTTTTTTAGATTCTTAAGATAGAAATTAAGATCATTGGTTTTATACTGTCTTCTCTGATATTGACATGAAGTTTTATATTTTCCTGTCAGTACCACTTTGGGTGCAACTTTTAGCATACAATCCTTTCATTGTCATGAAGTCTGAAGAATTTCCACTTTCTTTTGTGATTTTTTTTCTTTGATTTGTATTATTTAAGAAGATATTATTTGTCTTTCTCTTATATGGGAATTTAATAGATATGTTATTAATTATAACTTAATTTTGTGGTCAGTAATCACAATTAGTGTTTCAAAAATTTGTTGAGTTTATTAGGGGATGGAAATGGTAACAGCCCTGATTTTGATCATTACACATTTTATAAATTATCATTTTGTGCCCCATGAATAACCATAAAATATTATGTTTAACTTAAAAAATGCAAAGTTGGTGAATCTTCCCTGCTTGTTTGGTTGGATTCTTAACCTTTCTCCCTGATTATACACCAAGGGGAGGAAATCTAGGTTCAAGTGTTATAACAATCTGACACTTGCAAGACAAAGGCTGTAGAACAGTGTATGACAGTTGTACCATATTCCATGAACAAAATGTGCATGTGCATATGCAGATTCAAGGCTATTTCTCAAAGCACCAGATGTGGGTTTTCTGGGCATATCCTTCTTTGTCCATCCTGGTAGTATTTCAGGGCCATTTGTTTCTTTTCCTCACAGCACAGATTATAAGAAATGAAAATTCAGGAAAAAAAGATGCTGGCTAACATAAGGAATAGGAAGATGAGGATTTTACTATTTGAATCAAAGAAAAAGTTGTTCATATTAAAATTTTAAATAGTTATTTGACCAGCATTGATTCACAAATTAATAGTTCAGTTGGCAGGAGATCAGGGCTCAACGGGTGGCAGGGAAATAAATTTTAAGGTGCTAATGAAATAAGACAAAATATTTGATTGGTTCAACTGTAAAGCTCTTAGTTGTAAGTTAATTGTTGGTGTCTAGTGAGTAATCTTGAGTTTCCTTTTTCTGTTTTCATTGAGTTGTGGTTTGTTTTACTTCAATAGGATGCCACAGTACTGGAGGGGTTTCAGTCTAATAACCTCCAAATTTATTTTTTAAAACAGTTTGAAGCGTGAGTTTTTTTCCCCTAAGTTCAGAATTAGATTAGAAGACTTGTTGGTGAAGGAGCCAGTGATAGAGAAAAATGCAGAATTGTAATTTCAGGGCAGAGAGCATGGATGGTTGGACTTAGTTCTGGAAGGGCTGCCATTGTATTGAGGGGGGAGATGACTATATTTATTAGAATCATTGAGAAGTTTGGAAGGCAATAGAGCCCCTGGAAGATTTCCAAGGACACAGCACACTGTCCTTTCTTCATTCTTTATCTTTTTCTCTCCTTTCTCTTCCTTCTTTTTCTCTCTCCTTCTCCTCCTCCTTCTCCATGTTCTTCTACTTCACTATTAGAGTATTGTTTCATAACCTTAACCCTATGATGAATTCTCTGTAAATTCTGAAGGTCTTAGGTCAGCAGGTCAAGAGATACTATTATGCATTTTAAGTGCTACAATAGGTACCTGTCCTCTTTTCTTTTCTGTCTCCCTTTATGGACTTTCACTCTATTTTTCTCATAGGATTCTCCATGGATTTTATTTGAATTAGAAAAAATTGGAAGACAGTGGTAGTCATATATGACTGAGGTTTTCCCCTTTCCTTTCCTTTTTCTTTTTCCCTTTTAATTTCCTGGTGCTGGGGATTGAACCCAGGGCTTGTGTTTGCAAGGTAAGCACTCCATGAACTGAACTATATGAACTGCACCAACAGTTATTCTTACAGAATAAGAAACAGCTCTGTTTCTCCCACACACAGGGAAATAATATACTTATATAAAAAATTATATACTGGAGAATGTGCCTCAAGGATATTTTGCTGTCACCTTTTATTTAATTATTTCAGTTGTATATGGACTCAATGCCTTTGTTTTTATGTGGTACAAGGATCAATCCCAGTGCCTCACACTTGCAAGGCAAATGCTCTACCACTGAGCTACAACTCCAGCTTTTGCTGTCACCTTTTAAAAAAATTATTAATTCAAACAGATATTTTGAATTATTTCTATAATCATAAAAGGGGAAATATAATAGCTTTCAAAAGTTTTCTCCAAAAGTAGCTGGGGAAATATATCCACCAGTCTCAGACTTACAAGAGGTAATATGTTGTTCTCATCGTCAAGTTGCTTCCTAGGAAGCTGACTTACTAAGTAGAAATATTTGAATTGTCCTGTGACCATTGATTATTTTATCAAGGCTACCAGCCCTTGAAGATCAGAAGTAAAGGAAGAAAATTTTCAGGCTCCTGCAATAAACTCAGGGCCAGAAAAGAAGACATGTACCTATTGTAGCACTTAAAATACATAATAGTATCTCTTGACCAGCAAAATATGTCCTTTCCTGTGAAATTGTATAGGTACATCCATACCATTGGCTGCTGTATCTTTAGATTTAGTAATGGGTCTGTGGAGTTTCCAAACATTCAGCTAAATCTGCCAGCAGATTTCTCTGTATTTCAAAGCCAAAATCACTCATGCAAATACTTAAAACACTCAATTGTAAAGCACAGGTTGATTTCATCTCTCTCCAAGGGAGTGGCCATGTCTCTACTAAGGGAGGTCTATTGAAGGTATTTTGTTGTTGCTGCTGGTAATGGTGGTAGTTTTGTTGATAATGATTACAGTTTTTGTTCTGTCATTGTTTGTGTTCATTTTAACTATTTCTAGGAAATAACTGTAGACTAATAGCTTCATTTTAATTCTGCAAGGAGAAAGGACACAAGAATTTTCTGAAGGATTGTTTTAATACATTTTTATAAATTTATGAAATGATAATTATCAATTATGGTTCTTAAATAAATTCATTGTGACTCAATGACATGCACAATGTGTGTTAAACTGTAGTCTACAGCCCACCTGTATCAGAATCATCAATGTGTTAAACTATGTCTGCATCAGCATCACCTGGGATACTTACATATAGAGGCAGATCCTTGATTAGAGTCCCACACCCACTAGAGCGCTTGATATGGAGCCCAGGGAGTCGCTCCCACAGTCCCCATAGCTGAATGTGAAACAGACCCCCTTTGAAAGGAAAATCTTCAAATATGTTTTAATTTTGATCTTCTTTAAACTGATGATGGAGGCTGATGGACTGCTTGGCTCTGATGGGCACTGCAAAGGGAAACATGTACTGGGAAGGGTTCCTGATTAACACAGCCTAGCTAAATACACACTTGGGCATTTCTTGCCTTTCCCCCCACTGTGACCTGTTTTTATAAAAGCTTTCCATGCCTCACAGTCATCAAAGATGAAGACAGGTCAAAGAAAATGTTCTTCTCTATTTTGCTCAAACCCAGGATGGAAAGAAACCAATTCTCCATTGCCATCCTGACTCCTGAGTTTTAATGCTGCAGAACAAACAGCAAAATATATCCTTCCCTGTGAAATTGTAAAGGCACATCAGGTTTAAGAATCACTTGTCTTAGAGATTTTTGAAAAATGGCAAAGAGGAAAAATTCTCATTTTTTTAAACTTAAACCTCAGAATTAGCCAATAAATTTCTTCATGACAGTCTTGTTTTCTTTTCTTTTAAAAATTTTTATCTTGTTTTAATATTTTTAATTTTTAAATTTATTCTAATTACTTATACATGACAGTATCGTACACAATTGGAGCACTTGCTCTGGCTGAACGTGGTGCAGAGTCAACACCAGTAGTGTAGTCACAAATGTATATAGGGTATTAAAGTCCCTCTCATTCCATAATCCTTCACACCTCCCCACCCCTCGCTTTACCTCTGTCCCCTCTGTCCAATCCAAAGTTCTTTCATTCCCCCCTCCACCTCGCTTTATGGATCAGCATCTGCTTATCAAAGAAAACATTCAGTCTTTGGTTTTTTGGGTTTGACTTATTTTATTTTCTATTCCTAACACTTGTTCTAGTCTGTTGTAGAAATGGGAAACAAAGACAAAAAAAAGAAAGAAAAGAAACTATTTATACAAACTTTGCTTTAAAAAAAATAAGCCACAGAAAGCCAGAAAGACATTACTATTTTACCCTGCCTGCAATGAGTGATGTTGGCCTTCAACGTATGGCTACAGCAATATAAATGAACCTCTATCTTACATTTATACCCACCTACTCACATCCTAGGAGCACTCTAAAGACACATAGGAGGCTTCAGTACAATTGGGGCCTGGCCCACACCACTAAGAAACAAGTAGAGGCTGCCATATGCAAGACTTTGCATAGGCTTGGTGTGGACATCAGTCTCATATTCCCCCGAAGGATGTTAAGTTAGCAAAATGGCACAGCATACTTAATGGGGAGGAGGGGGCAGTAAAATTTGGAGAACATGTTAATAAAGGAAGCAGATTGTGCTAGGCTATGAATGAGAGGTCACCAATTTCCTTCCTCACATGGACTCAAAGAGGTCAGACCTCATGGTGCCGTGCAAAGTCCAGCCTGGCTTATCCCAGAGGAGCTACCTGGTCAGGTGTGGATCTGTGAAAGGTGCTAGCTGAGTTTCACTGACACTGTCCAGCAGTGCCTGCTTCTCACTAGAGTGCTTCTAGAACTGTCAACAAGCTCCACATTGGAACCACATGACCCATGTGTAGAAGGCAATCATTTCCCCAGAGTTGATCATCAAAGGAGAGCTGCTAAGGTGAGAACAGTGCTGAGCAGGTGCTGTGTCACTGAGGCTGTTCAGAAGCAGTGTCACAGGTTTACCATGCAATCTTAGGTGAACTCTGCCTAGTGGGGGTCTGGTGGTATTTGACTACTGGTATTCCATCACTGCCAGGAAGTCATTCTGCCTTTCTTCCTACCCTAGTAGGAGACATCTCTGATCACCTCTTCAGACCTGCACCAGCTTTGAAGGAATAGGACTCAGATGCTCCTTAGCAGATAGGCAGTTGTTCAGATGTGGGGAGGGGGGTAGGCCTAGGCTTCCTCATGCATTAGGGACCGGTGGTTGCTTTGCTTCTTGTGTGGCTCCTGGAAGGCAAGGGTGTCAATGCTGGAGCACACAGCAGGGCCCTTACGGATGTCACCTGCAAGCAAACAAAAGAATCCTGTTCAGATGGAACTATTAGACACCATTTATGATGCCCAGAGCCTGGAATAAGGGCAAAGCATGCAGGAAGGCAGAAACATGGTGGGATTTGGTTAAAAGAATGAGACAAGGAGATGCACTGGGTCTGGAGGGTTCCAGTTTAGAGGATAAGCTTCCCTGTGCACCCAAATCCCTGGTGCCCCAGCCACAGCCCTACTGCATGCCATATGGCCAGATCCTACTACTTTCCTTTTATTACTCAGTTCATGCTACAGGTTATGTGGTCTGAAGGAAAATAAAGGCCTTTGACATATTCTGGGAACAGAAGGATGGAGCATGAAACATGCACATGTAAAAACAGCCTGTACTGAAGAGGACATGTTGGGGAAAGTTCCCCTGTTAAGTGTGTGTCTCAGTTTTCTTAAGAAGAAGACAAATTGACAGGAACCTCAGAGATTCTCTAAGTCTAGGTCCACCTTTAACAGATGAGGGGCAGTAGCTCACAGAGCCAAAGGCATACAACCAGTTAATATTAAGCCTGGAGTTAGAGACCAGAAATCAGGAACAAGAGAGGGTGGGCTGCACACTGGAGGGAGCCAGCAGGAACTGGAGGCTGTGGGTTAACTTGCCAGGGATAGGAGGAGGCTGTACAGAGGCAATCCTCTAAGTGTTGTGATAAGAGGCTCAGGAAAGAAAGCAATCCTCAGAGAAGATCCAAAGGGAATTAGAAAACAAGAGCTAGTTAAAACATGGCCCGTCCTTGATCACACTATGGGTGTCAAGGCTCTCAGGGTACAACTTAGGAACATTCCTAGAAGGCTCAACTGCTCTGATGTTTACCATATATGTTTAAAGGTTTAATTTCTTATGTTTAAAACAATCAGTTACACATCAAGTTTCTCTTCATAGGATTTCTAGGGAATTATTAGCACAGCATTTAAGTAAATGTAGAGAATATCTCTCCTCTATATATATATTTATATTTTAAAAACTTGTCCCTTAAAGTTCAGTCTTTTTTATTATCAGTTTTTCTTTTATATCAAGGAGACTGAGTGGATCTTCCTTCATGTTTTTTAAAGAAAATGAGGTGCCAAAATAAAATTACTATCCTTAACTTAATTTTCTGCACTTAAGTCAATTTATAAGATTATGCCTTATTTAGTTTTTCATTAAGTAGTTCAGGAAAGTCCAGAATGCACAAATGGCCTCAAGATCTCTTGGTAGACAACTAATTCACAGACAGAATTTGAAAGTTTCTTCCCTCAAGGACCAACTGAACTGCATTTCTCCTGGCTCCTTGCTTGACTGACATCAAGGGGAAAAACTGGGGTAAAGAGGAGAGATGGTGACTAGGGGAGAGCAAGAACAGGGGAGGGAGCTGAGGGGGCAGGAGCGTGAAGAGAGGAGGCTCTCCAGGAGCTAAGACCTATGTAGTGGGCCAGATACCTCCTAGAATTTAAAGGAGGTCAGGGTCACTCACAGATCTGATGACAGACAGTGACGTATTTGAATTGGCTCTGTGACTGTGTAAGGTGCAACCGGTTCCTTAGCTCCAAGTTAGTCTTTGCCTTCTTCAAAACATCATGTGTCCTGGTCACTGAAAAAAGAAAAGAGCCCCACAAAGAAGGAATTTCTAACTGGGCCCTACTTGCTGGGCATGCATTTCTAGACCACTTTCTTCTCACCCCTCAATCATGGCCTATTGCTGACCCCTTACTCTCCTCCCTCTGCATCCACAATTCCTCATGGCACAGGAGGGTTGGGCCCAGTGCCAGACTCTCCCTTCCCAACATTCCAGTGCCTCTGTGGTCACTGTTCTTCTGCAGCATAAGTGGGGAATCTGCAAGACCACCCCTTTCCTCTGCTGCTCCACAGCTCAGAGGCACCTAGGCTGGCTGACAATGAACTGCTCCATGTTCTCCTTCTGCTGGTTAACAGACTTCAGACGCTCAGCTGCGCTCTCAAGGAGCTTCTCCTGTTTGGATACTTGGGCTCGAAGATCCAGGAGCTCCCTTTTCATTGATTCATCCTGGGGAAGAAGAACAGGCTCTCAGACAACAGTGTGGAAACCAAATGCATCCAGTTTTTGTGGTTCCTACCAATCAGAAGCACAACTCTATAATCTTCTTAGCACCTCCAGACTCAGTTTCTTCCATTATATCTTCTCAATCCCTCAGTTCAGAACAGTTGAGAAAAATACCACAGGTAGGAATGTTGAGAACCTGAAAGCCCCCAATCAGACCAGCACAGGCCTACATTCCTCTGATCAAGGAGACCCTGACTCCAGACCCACAGCAACTCACAACTGTGAACAAGACCTCCAACTCAGTCCTTGAAGAAGTTTTGTCTCCCCCTTCTCCCATCCATGAAGGACTTGGAATTTCAGAGATACTATGTCTGGGACACAGGACTGCACTGATGACAGTGTTCACATTTCAAAATGTCTGTACAAAACTGAAGATAGTAAAGTACCCCATTGGAATTAGCATTTTTTGATCCCAAAACATACCAGTAACATTAATATGGAGCTAAAAACTAGGGGTGGGGGGGATCCAGAAACAGGACAATTCCTTAGGGGCTCTACCTTTTCCCAAGACTGGAACAGAGATAAAAGGTGTGTTGGGATTCTAGGAGCATGACTGAAAGTAGCTGAAGGATCACAGTGACTTCCTTTGATCTTTTGACCAAGAAGCACTGAGGGGTGGAAAAGTTTCAAAGGCCCATGAATTTCAGCTCAAACTTCAGAATTATTGGAAGTAGATACTTATGGATTACCAGGGTGTCTATGTCTGTGCTTCTCCATTTTATTTTCTTCTCTTTGAATTATTATCTTGGGGGTTGGGGTGTGAGGATGAAGTAAGGTAATCAGAACTTCAATGAAAGCACCCACCAAGGACCAGGAGTCTCCCTCCAGGATGCTGCACTAAAGTCCAGCACATTCTAACAACCTATGTAGCTCCTGACCATCAGAAAGTCCTGGAACTGAGAACACAGAATCTCATGGGCAGAAGAGCAGGGCTTATACCAGAAGACAACACTGGCCTCTTACCACTTTGCCAGGCAGCCCAGGGCCGTGGAAGCTTGGTAAAGCTGCTCTCCAGAACATGGTCAGGAGGGAGGCTGACTCCTCTAGGTTGTGCTGCAGGGCACAGGTGCTGCTTCTTAGCTCATGGAAACATTTGTTGCCTGGTGCCTGTTGAGAGGTGGGAGGTAGCCATGGATATCACTGAAGCTGAGACATCTCAGGGCTCAGGACATTGAAGGCTACATAAGACTTGAGCTTCCTTTGTCATGAGGCACAAAGCATGGGCTGCTTGAACCTGGAAAACCCTGGCTCATCCCTTTGAGGTCGCAGGACTGAAGTGTGGCTCCTCTTACCTGGAATGACTCCTCCACCTGGACACCCTATATAAGGCTGTCAAAGCTCATTCCCGTGTCATGTCCTCTACAAAATTTTTACTTCTTCACGTACAATAAAAGACCCCTCTGCAACAGTGAACTCGAGGCACAAGAGGTGACTTCTCACATTGGGCCTGTGGCACCTTAGTTGGTTTATAAATAGGGGTCTGTGTCTTGCCCTGAAGTGGGGGTTCCCTGGAGGCAAGGCTCTGTCTACCATCCATGGGTCTCTGGGGGGCTCAGACAGCACAGCCATTGGCCCTTGTTGTCTTTCAGACATTGCAGATTGCCTCCCTCCAGTTGTTCCATGGGAAAAAAGAAATGCTGTGGTGGCCAGGTTCTTACTCTTCCCACACACAAGGCCTTTATGGATGCAAATCCCTCACTACCTGTCCATCTGATTGATTTTAATCTGTCCACATGGGCCAGCATGACTGTAACAAATAATAAACTATCAGAGGGTGCCGATTCCAACATCATATGGGCATCAACTCTTAACAAATGCTTTACTGAGGTTGGTGGCAATGCTGCACGGACTTCTCTGTGGCTCTGAGGGAGAATATCTGGTTGACCTTCTCTACTGCAGGGTAGAATTTAGAATTAATCAGGAGACAGGGAAGCAAGGGCCTGGCTAGAATAATTGGAAGATTCTTTCTCTGTCATTGGGAAATGCAGGACACAAAAATAAATAGTGGAGAAGAAAGTAGATTTAAGGATAAAGGGCACAAAGAAAGGGTGAACCCAGGAGCTGCAGGTGTGACTACCTCTGAGCTCTGAGCTTCAAGGCCTGGGAAGTTGCATGTGGGCCTCAGGAGAGACTGGATCTTTTCAACCAGCTGTTTCTCCTCCCCAATCTGCTCTCTGAGAGGAGTATAGTCATCAATGTGGCCTATAATGTGACAGCCATGCTTGTTGGTGAAGGAGCCATCCATAGTATCACTCTCTAGGGTCAGAGAGTTCTTCATTTCTGGAGCATCTTCCGAATCTAGCACTGAAAAAAAAAACTCACAATAATAAAAGATCTGATAATATATTCATGATAATATCCTCAGTTTCCACCAGTGCAAAAAAAGTGAAACAGCCTACGATCAAGAAAGGCAGCCTTCAAAAATGCAGGGTAGGTCAAGTCCATAGGGACTTTGGTTTCTTTATTTTTATAATCTTTCTTACATCATTACATAATGATAAACTTTCCAGAAGAAAAATGTTGTTTTCATTGACAAGTGGGCTATTCAGGACAAATAGCATAAACATGAAAGTTTTCTGGATAGAATAGGCACAGACAATTGAATAAGAACGTGTACAGGGCAATGACCCAAACAGAGCAATAGGACAATCGTGGCAAGAAGAATGAGAAGAAAGGCAGCCACAGAAGATTCAAGGAACAGGACTGAAGGCTTTGTTGCACACAGAAAATTTTCTAAATTCACATGACACACTTACAGAGGACCAACTGTTATTTGCATTAATAATTTTCCTTCATTGTGTCCAAGCCCTTTAGTTGTCATATTTATAACATTTGTCCTGGTGACAATGACAGTATCTGAGCCAGGAGAAGAGACAGAAGAGCTGTGGAGGACCAGAGTTACAAAATCCATGCCAACACCCCAAACTACAGAGGAAATAACTGAATCTAGGGAGTAAAAACAACCAGGATTTAGGTCACCACAAACACCCTGCACCCCAAATCATGCACACTCTAGCCTTCAGCACACAAAATCTTAGATCTAAGGTACCAGGATTTCTCTCTCATATCATTAGCATACATATTCCACATGGAAAATCAAAAGTCAACAGATTGATATGTTTCTATTATTTAGAACAAAAAATGTTTGATGGATGGGTATTCCAAATGAATGTAACATCCAGTAAAAACTTGTTAGGGACAATTTTATAAACCAACTTTGAGTATAATTTCCTGTGTGCTTTCTAGTACAATGCCTTGCAGCGAAACTTAAATATGCACAAAATCACATACATATAAAAAATACACACACATATGCATATATGTGAAATATGTATATGTTAAAATATTTATCAAGGGCTGGAGTGCAGTTCAGTGGTAGAGTGTTTGCTTGGCACACAGAAGGACTTGGGTTCAAATTCCCTGTGTTACAAAGTTGATCAAAATGTAAACTATCAATAAAAGGAGTTCCTGGTAAGAGGAGAGTGGGTCAGAGCCAGGTTCCAGTTCAGGCCTCTGGGGCTGGGAACAAGAGGAAGAGCAGGGACTGAGCCATGCTGCTGCATCTCAGCTGGCACATGGGAAAACAGTGACAGGGAAGCCCTGTCAGGAGGAAGTGAAGAGGAGACTCAACACCACACCCACCATGGCAGCTCCAAGAGGGCAAGGCAGCAACCTAATGTATGCTGAGCAGTTCCTGCCAGCTGGGTACTGTGCTTAGCACTTCACAGATGGTTCTTATTTAAAGGCCACAATAAAAATTGAAAGAAATTGTCCATTTTTATTTGAAAATTGAGGTCATTATCTGAAAAATGAGTATTCAGCACAACCAGGGATTAATGTGACCCAAGAACATCTGGCATGAGAATGTCAAGGCTCAGACTTAGAGAAACCTGAGCAGAAGTGATTGAGGATATGGCCATGCAGGTGATGGGAGAAGGTGAATTAATTGGTGCCCCAAAAAGGCAAAACAGAAGACACAGAGTGGAATGATGTGTCAAGAGGCTGGGGAGTGGGGCCTCTGTTAACATTTAAATTAAAACGAGGGAGGCAAGACAGAGGCTGGATATTGAAGAGAGCCAGAGAAATCTGGTGAACATGCTTGTCTGAAGAGGCAGGCAAGAGACTGGGGCACAAGTGGATGTCTACCACGTGGAATAAATGTGCCTGCCACCCAGCACTTTCCCACAGCCCTGGTTTCCTTAGGGACAGGAGCATTGTGCCACATACTGAGGTCCCCCTAGGTGAAGAAAAGGAAGCCACTCTAGAGACTGTGGAAGGTCTGTGATACTGAGACAGAGCCTAGTGAGGTGGAAGGAAGACCAACTAAAAGGCCAAGCACCTGATTTGGTCTCTAACCCCTGGAAACCCAGCTTGTCTATTAATGTCTCAGTGCCCCCTGTGTCAGTTGGATCATGTAAAATATAAAAATATAGTAAAACCTGTCCTACTATAAATGACATTGGAAAACACAGGCTCCAGGCCAGTATGTGTCTCCCACCTATAGCCAAACTTCCATAGAATTTTTGTTTTTGCCTTTTAGGTTTTATAATGTTTTTCTTACATATATTTATTTTTTAAAATTAGAAGTGTCTAGTTATACATAGTAGTGGGTTCATTTGGACAAAATCATACACACATGCAACTTGACTTCCATCCATGATTTGCCCCTTTCCTTCTCTCTTTTTCTTCCCATCCTGCCTAATGTCTCCCAAATCTCCTTCATCTACTCTACTAGACTTCCTTTTGATCATCTATTAATTTATATCAATTTATATTTGATTGCTTCTTTCTACCTATGCATAAAGGTGGAGTTCCCTGTGGTATATTTATATGTGCACATAACAACATTTTAAGAATTTATCCTGAGTCTGGGGTTCTCTGGACACATCATTCCACTCTGTGTCTTCTGTTTTGCCTTTTGAGGCACCAATTAATTCACCCTCTCCAGTCACCTGCATGACCTCAATCACTTCTGCTCAGGTTTCTCTAAGTCTGAGCCAGTAGAGAGCACTTGCCTCACACATCTGAGTCCCTGTGCTAAATCCTCAGCACCAGGTAAAAATAAATAAAAATAAAGATATTTCTGGAGTTGTACTAGGCTGCAGTCCCACTAACAATGTACAAGTGTTCCTTTTCCTCACAACCTTCCCCACATATTGTTTATGTGTATTTTTGAACATTGCAATTCTGGAGTGAGATGAAATTTTAGTGTTTTCATTTGCTTTTCCCTGATTGCTAGAGAGGTTGAACATTTTCTCATCTATTTGGCTATTTGTGGGGTGTTTTTTTTTTGTTGTTGTTGTTGTTTGTAAAGAAGTTTCTATTTAGTTTTTCTATTAACTATTTATTGATTGGGTTATTTGAGATATTTTTATATTTTATATTTATATATTTTATATTATGAGTTATTTATATATTCTGGGTATTAAATTCCTTATCAGATGAGTTCTGGCCAAGATTTATTTTCCCATTCTATAGGCTCTCTCTTCACGCTCTTCTTTATTTCCTTTGCTGGGAAGAAGGTTTGTAGTTTGATGGCATCCCACTTATTTATTCATAGTTTCAGTTTATGTACTTTTGAGTGCCCTGTTAAGGAAGCTGGTGCCAGCAATTATATGATAGAATGTTGGCCCTACGTTCTTTTCTAGCAGTTGTAAGGTTTCTGCTCTAATTCCTAAGCGTTTGATCCATTTTCATTTGAGTTTTGTGCAGGGTGCAAAATAGGGTTTTAGTATTATTTTTCTACATATATTTATCCAGTTGTCCCAGCACCATTTATTAAAAAGGCTCTTTCATCTAGTGTATATTTTTTGCAAATTGTTAAGTATCAGAGGGCTCTAAGTATGTGGATTTGTCTCTGTCTTCTCTTCTGTCCTATTGGATTTTGGGCATCTTTTGGTGCCAATATCATGCTGTTTTTATTACTAGAGCTCTGCAGCATTACTTATAGTCTGGAGTTTTATATTTAACAATGGTACCAATAATAAAAAACAAACTGAAATAAAACATGCGTTCAAGAATTAGATAGTAGGAGTCAAATATGTGGGCGAATATATGAACTTCCCAACTTGAAGTAGTGGGAATCAAATAAATAAATAAATCACACACACACACACACACACACAAACATATATGAATACAGTATTTTTCTTTTGGTAGAGCTATTTTTGTTTAATACCTTTACTTAA